CGTACCCAGAATTAAATGCGGTTTAATAACTCTTTTAATATCTTATACTTAGGTAATTTATACTTATAAGTAAGTAAACAACGCTAATGAGTTCAGTGCCGCCACGATTTTTACGCGTTAAAAAGAACGCGCACGGCGATTCAGTAAAACGTGTTAAAGTTAGTGAAAATATTTATGTCACGGAATCGGAACACTAGTCGTAAAAATTGATAAACAAAGGTTTGCGAAACAATCGTGTTTCTTTGAGTACGCCGGCGAGTGTATATTAGACAATTATTATTAATTATGTATACGTCGTTATCCAACGAGAGCAATGACCCGTTATTCTAAACTAATAACCTATGATAATAGGCGCGAAGCGTGTGAAACAATTCGTACACATACTACGTAATCATTAATTCAAAGTACAAATTAAATTGCTTTAATTGATGTGTTATTTGTGTCATCGTATGAAGGATCACCGCTACCAAATTCCAATCTCAATCTTACTAATATTATAAATGCAAATGTTTGGGTGGATGGATGTTTGTTTGAAGGTATCTCTAGAACGACTGCATAAATCTCGCTGAAATCTGACATAGATTTAGAACATTGTATGGAAGGACACATAGGCTACTAATTATGTTTTTTTTAATTCCGAACGCACGGAGTTGCCGGCGACAGCTAGTACAACTATAATCCTGTCCGAAGAATAATGTTACTTAGTTTTCAAAGTCGTCACTTTTTACTGTAGACCGTTTAGATGTTTAGGAAGAAACAAACTTGAAAGAAAATTGGTTGTTTCTTTCGAATTAACTGATTAAAAATAATTAAAGATAACGGTTTGACTGACGTATATTTCGGTCTACCGACTAGTTTCAGGCCCGTCGGGGATCTTTCTTTAGGGTGAGTGTATTAACGGGCTAAACTTTCTGTCGCGTCACGCCGGTAGTATAATGTCTCACGAAAGTTTTAATAACTTAACTGATTGAACGTAAAAATATATCGATGAAATTAAATGCGAATCGAATAAATCTAACCGAAATTAGTTATCAGCTGACGAGTGAACCTTTAAATCTGTGCTTACCCGCTTAAATATTTTTATTAATATTTATTTTATTTTACGGTTTACTAGATAGACGGTTCGACCACCCTCGTTATCGAAACTATCCGGACTTGCGCATTATATCTTTGTCCTTAGGCTGACCGGTGTCGATTGATCGAAGCGCATACACGAATTAATGCAATGAACTCGGATAGTTTGATAAGCGGCTTTTTTTTAATTAATATATTATACATATATTACCGAAACTGATAGCTTGTGAATTATATAATCACCATGCGATATGTGGCATTTTAATAATGGTGGACGCCAGTAACATCGTTTGCACAAATGTGCCGACTCGACCGATGCAATACAACGACCAAACAGAAGTCAGACGGGATAGAGAAGCAATTCTGCGTTTCGTCTGATGAATTTGTGTGATGAAGGCCTTTTACTTCCCTTCCCACCATTTTCTTACAAAGTAAAGATCGGAAGGGGATGTGAATTTGTCGGAGGAAGGGGCGCATATACGTAGGTGAGATATCCTCTTACTGTGCGTCTCCTCCTGCGTCGATTAAACGTAGGCAACGCATCTGCCATTTTGGATGTCTACGAACAGAGGTCGCTTCGCTATTACGCTAATTCAGATGACCGCTTGCTCCTTCACCACCTAACGAATTAAATAATCATCTTCAGTGATTGAAACGAGGCCACATTTGGATCCATCATGGCGCAATGTAAGTGACGTCACGACCGGTTAAGCATAACCTTTGCAGTAGAAACTTTATAAAGGTTCATTACATAAGAAGGATTATCTTTGATCCAGTTGTTTTATAGATTTTTGCGTCCGTCTTTTTTCAGAAATTTCGGCATAATGCGTGCGGGATTCCAGTTTCTTGTATCGGCCTTTATACATTACAATACGTAAAACACCGTGCTATTTGATATAATATGACATTAAAACGTAATAACTTTAAACCAGACTAAAAATTCTGCATTTTGCCGATATTATTGAAATGCGATATCACTTGTTTATACTCTATGCGTTGATTAAAAGAGTTCATAATTTAGTTTACGTGCGTTGCACTACACCTTTAGTCTCTATAGTTTATCATATGCGTTATTGATCTCTAATGTGCATACATTTAATATTGATACGTGTCCCAGCTTAGGAACCCATTACTGGAATAGCTTTGACGAATATATACGGTATAACTCACATACCGCTTGCTTGCTATAAGCTGTCATGTCAAAACTTGGGATCTATTTAGTTCTTGGACAGACATGGCGATTCCTGTCTTCACATGAAGGATGATTAGGTGGGAGAGCATAAAGCTTCCACATCCGTATAATAATATTCAAATCAATTATTTCGGGTTATAAGATCACTTAACAGTCTCTTCGTCTGAAGAAAATCATGAGCATTGTATATTTTTATAGGATTAGATATATTTTATCATAGGTTTTTATAATAATTACGAAAAGTAAAAATGTTTGTGATAATATTGTAATTTTGTAAATTTAATATCAGTACATACCATGGGGAAGTGAGTCAGAACAGTAATATGGTGTTGTCTTTTGGCGAGAGCTTCTATGAGGCGGCCGTACATTGCGTAGTGGCTTCTAGTGTTGGTGGGCAGCACGGCCAGGAGGCGGGCAGCGTGCGCCGCCGCCGCGCAGAGTATCACCATCAGCCAGAGCGACCGCGCCTGCATCTCACTGCCGTCTGCCGCGGATTGCACTCGCGCCGCCTGAGCCCGCAGCACCCGCGTGCAATTTGCACCGATAACGGATGACGTTTTCCAATACATGCCACGCACCAAACGGCATGTCACACCATCTAACCTTTACCTCCCTCTTAACACTTTCAGGCAGTGTCATATTTCATATTCCTCTTCTATCTAAGTTGGATCGGTAGTGCAAGATTTTTTATCTTCGTGATGTTACAAGATTTGTGATTAATTTGTGTTTGATATTGAACTCGTTAGTTCTAATGTTTATATGAGTTAAAATTACATATATTTTGTGGACTACATATAATTTGTGACTAATAGAATTAGTGTAAGTACAATTTTTTTGTCGTATAACTTAGAAAAAAGTGTAGAAACTACTAAAGTATATGATCCGATGATTTACCATAAGTTACAATCCGGAACAACATTTTCTCCCAAATTAACAAATTGTAATTCAAAGACAATCGTTAATTAAATTATTCAAACTTTCGTGAGACATTATAATAAACTAATATAAAAACGGGAAACTAGTCGGTGCCGCCACCGAACGAATATACGTGAGTGTTTAGCCCTTTTTCATATAAGTTTTTTTTATATCATAAGTTGGCAAACGAACGAGCGGCCACCTGAAATCGCTGAAATAGCGAAGTGACCGTTGCCCATAGACATGCGTGCATATGCGTTGCCTACCTTTAATCGACGGAGGACAGGATGCACAGAAAGAAAATATTTTCCCTTTCCATGCATCCTCTCAAAAGTTAGGTTTACAATCGTTTACAATAGGTAAAGCATATATGACATATTAAGAAGTTTTTATATATTGTTTATTAGAAACTATTAGTATGTATTTATATTAAATCGAATTTTGAGTTCAAGTTTCGGTGGAAGGGTATAAAAGAAAAACACTCTTCAGTACAATTATTTCAAAGATAGCACCAAATTGTAGCTTACGAAACAAGCAATAATTATTATTTATTTGAAAACTATTTTATATTTCCCATTTTTATGATCTCCTAATTGTTATTTTAAAAAAATATTTTACGGAAAATATTTGTACTTTACGAGTTTTAACGTATAATATCTGTAGTGAAATAATTCGGGTTTGGATTGAAATGAAATGTAGGTCATGAACTTGCATATCGTGTATACTTGTAGGTATGTCTTTCATTATCACACTTATTGTTTTATGAATTGGTTAAACGCTATCGGTTGCTAAGAAGTGTAATTGCATTAATTATTAAATTTAATATCATAAATTAAATACCTAAAGCGTCCACAATCTGAAATATTTATGTAATAATTTTTGTCATTATAGTTACGCCTCTCAACATTAACCAGATGAAACCAGAAACACAGCAAGTGCTGGATCTCTTTTGCATTTCCTCGAGTTTTTATCTAGCGGATGTTTTATTTTTAAACAATATTCAAAATATTTTAAGTCAATTCCTAATTTTAGCAATTAATTTACCACGTTGTTCTATTAATACTAGATATTATTTATTACCCATAGTTAGAGGATTAAAAGCCGAATTATTCCACTGTATGGCGGCCATCTTGAATCTTAAAACAAAAACTAATCTCAAGGCTAAAGTTTCGCTTTGTATTAAAAATGTTCGTAATAATTTCTACTAAATTAATATATGAAGAAACATCTAGAATGTGAGTGCATTGTGTACTGATAGCTCATTAATTGCATGAATTGTTGGAAGATATTTGCGCACTGTTTACATTCAGTCATTAATCTAGAATTATTAACAAGAATTTGATTAGAACTAAGGTTCTCAGTTGTGATATAACTGTTTATCATTGTTAATAATATTTATTCCACTCCATTACCAAGAATATTCATATTGTTTACTTGTACTAGAACTAAGGAGACCTTCATTCAATATTTCCCCGGCCAATGTCATGGAAAGAACAAAAAGGCTCAAATTCTGTGCTACCATTTTTTGATTTTACAATTTAATTAAAGTAGCTATTAAACAATTATACAGTTTATTTTAGTGTCTAACAACCGCACTCAGGGTCGTTTATCGTTCTCTTAATGTAGATTACTTATACTAAATCTACACCTAGCGACTTCTTTAGTAATCACTTTCTTTCTTTTCTTAAAATAACTGTAGAACTGTCTTTACTTTGATGTTCGGAAATATATTCAATATATCAAAATGTGATCTCTTCATATACTAACTATTCAATAGATTTAACCAATAGAATATTTGTAATAGGTCCATTTGTTTCAGTTACGAAGTTCAGGTGGAGGCAGATGGTCGCCGGCGCGGGCTCGGCCAGCGCGTGCTTAAGGTGTTGGAGAAGCTGGCCCACGCGACGCGCATGCGCTGTGTTCGGCTTACCGCGCTTACACATAATCCCTCGGCATCTGCGTTCTTTAGGGCTTGCGGGTTAGTAGTACTACATTAATATTATCATCATATGCCTACTGTAACCTTCAAAAACGTCCTTATAATAGTTTATTCACGATACCGTTTAATCTTTAAGAAGAAAATCTAAAGTCATTATGACATTTGTTTCCACCTATTCCAGTTACCAACTATCCTTTTTCAATTTATTATGCTATCTCACTTATATCTCTAAGCTCTAATTCATCGATAAATCAACTCGTTTATGTTGTTTTTTCGTATGCTTTTATTTTTAAAATTTGCTAATACTCTTAATTTCTGACGTCAGTTGACCTTTAATATCCAACCAAATTAAAATGTTACGTAATAATGAACATTATATTAAGTTAATTTAGTTACATTTCTTCAGGTACATTCTCGATGATACAAGTCCGTCCATAGAAGAAGCGACACATTATGAAATACTCAGCAAAACGACAGAAAATGAAGGGGGAACAGATCCTCCGATCGCTTCCTAGTACTTAATTTAATTAAATCGTATTAAAATAAAGTCGGAAGGAGTATAGAAATAATTCCACATTCAGATTCTATTTATTTTAATAGAGTAAATGAATAAATCGTAAAGTTTTCTATATACATCCACCTTTATAGTGAATACTAGCAGATTTTTGAGATTATATCGTCGTAGAATAATTAGCTCTCTTATAGGTATTAAAAATAGACTACTCCTCTCCCCCTCCAAGACTATTCGTAACAAAAGAATAAATCCTATTTTTAAATGATAATCAAATTGCATTTAAAATCTTTTTTTGTCTAGACTTTTTTATGGGCGCTTTTTTCTTTTTTTGGGTAAAAAACATCATAAGTACAATTAAAAATAATTTAATTCTATCGTAAAATCATCACAAATCAGAAATTGACTTGAAATCTTGAAAATAATGATATTACTTTAAAATTAATCTGGGTAATAAGTAAGGGAGAGACTTAAAATACATTTTTTGAGTTAAAATCAAATGGTTTTATTTTTCTCACTATGGATAGGATCGATATTGTTAAAATAAGAAAAATATTAAATATATAGATTTTTAATAAAATAAATATTCAAAATTTTCAAGTAAAAGGTATAAATTCTCTATCTATAACTATATGTACAATTAAAAAAGGGCTGTATACAAAAAAAATCATATTTCATGAACACACTTTTGCTGATAACCAAAATCCGATATCAAATTTCCGGGTAATCCCCAAAAAGGCTTGACCGAATTTGACACGCTTTTTACTGAAAGGTAGCTGATGTGTGCGTAAGAAACTTGGTTAATTAATTTTTTTAATTTGCGCTGTCAAAGTCGCAGGCAAGCGCTAGTTATAAATATCTACGTTTCTACATCTAGTGGACTGTCGCATCTATCTCTTGTTTGGTTCTCAGTTTGTACAGAACCAGATGGTCGCATTAAATGTATTGCTAATGAAGTATGCTGGAACAAAGTGTTAGATTGTTGGACTAATTCCTGGGACATTTGTGGTACACTTTGTAAATCCGTATGAGGTGTCCATGATCTAGGCAGGACATTTGATTGTGGAGAGGTCGGTGGTAGTGTAACATCTTGTGGTGGGTTAATAGTGGTACATTTCTCTCTTCGTTCTCTCGCACGACGGTTTTGAAACCAAATTTTTATCTGGAAGAAATTTTTCTATAAGATTAACTGAAAATATAGGTTACTTGAATAAACCATACTGTTAAATTTTTTCGAAATGATGTTTTTTAAAAATGGGATTTCTTCTATCTATAAAAAAATATATTTACTCTGTCATCTCGTAACTGCAATGCTGCTGCAAGGGCTCGCAGTGCGGGCGGTGCGAGGTAAGGTGCGCGTGCGTACGCGGCCTCCAACGCCGCCGCCTGCGCCGCGGTGAACGGCACCCGCGCGTGTCGCCCCGACCGCCGCACCCGACACGTAGAACTTACAGACCCTGGCGCATACACCATAGTTAAAGTAGACCCAAACTCTTCGTAGTAAATATTGTGATGGAGATTAATAGGAAGACAAATACACTGGTTCCTTTTATCCTCTTTTCGGTTTATTAATGTGTTAACATTTGAGACTACCATACTTATTGTCCTTAAGTTTTAAGGCCTTTGCTACTTGCTGAGTTTGACAACATTCAGTAAAAAGGTTTTTGTTAAGTGTTAAATTAATTATGATGTACGCCTTGTAAAATAAAAGTAGCAATCTTACGGATAAAAAAAATTGCTACATAACAACACTGGAAGAATGTACATTCGTAATTGATCTTAGGGTTAAATCATGTTGAATAAATTAGTTTTGTCTCTGAAATGTAATCCTTACTTGGTAACCGCGGCGGCCGGTATCTCGTACAGACCAACCAGCTCGGTGTAGCCACATCCTCGTCAGCCGAAGTGTCGTCGCCTAAAATTCTTTTAATACTAAAATCCGAATTGCTCTTTGCTTCCGAATGACACGAATCCATAACGTTCCCTTATCCCCGACAAGATACGTTTAAACCAGTATCCTACATACACCACATTTAAAGGGTATGTATTACAAAAGAAGGCAGGACTATTTAGACCCCGCCTAATCGTACCCCATAAGGTAACGACCCTTGTATCCATAGATGTTATCATATACCACAATCATTGGAGGCACGCACCAATGAGTTTTTAAATATTGTGACGCAGGCTCATTCATACGTATTTCTAATATAAAAAAAAAAGAAATTGAAACTGTATACAATAGGATGTTATTAGTTTAAGGGCATGTGGGAAAATTAATTTGTAATACGCATTGTGTTACTATTGTTCGAAATATTATGTAAACTGATATGTTGCGAAAATAAATTGCTACTTCATTTGATATTGTTGATGTTGGATTAAACTATGGCGAAAAAAGTGTTGTAATTTATTGAAAATTTACAAAAAGATACACCTTTGATTGAAATTTATATCTTAAAATATGACCGGAACACTCACAAATACGTTACGATTGATAAGTAAAATTTCGAAAGAATGGACAACCTTTTAATTATTTTTTATAAGTGAAAAAATAATTCTTAGTAGCATTTGCCACTGGTAAATTACATGCGCATGTCATATAAAAAAACTAAGACTGATATGCAATTTTGCTTTTTAATCCCGTATCTCTATTTCACCAGTATTATTACTATTCTACAATTTAAGACATTTTGCAATGTTGATGTAATTCGCATCTGCAACCCATGTTAACCACTTATCGTCCACCGTGTAGATGTCACTGGCAGATAATATAATCACTGTGTACGCAATCTTCAAGTGCCACATTATTTTATTGTAATACATCTGACCACAATGGAAACAACTTTACAATAGAGACAAAATGGCCGTGTATTCAACGATGTTAATGTAACAGAAGCTCTTGAAATATATAAAATTTAATTGCAGCTGTCCTATTAATAACCTTTTTAGAATAAACAAATAATATTATCAATTTGTATTTGATATTACGTAATTCTTTAATTATTATTTGTATTGAAAGCCTTATAAACCGATGGCACCTAACCATAAAGTTATATAGGTTTTTACAGCTTATTTGTCAAAAAAAATCTTGGAAGTAACCTTTTCATTTTCTACAGATTGATTAAAATAACCACAGCACAAGACATGCTACCGATGTCTTCACTCCTATAATATATTTTTAATCGTCAATTAACTTCTAAACTGATGTGAAAAGGTTTCCTTGGGGATGTTCTAAGTAGTACTGTATTTGTTTATTGCAATTACCTAAATTTAAATACAAATATACTCATTATTATGTTAATAAGTAAGCTGTACACAGGATTATAGGTAAAGAATGGAATTAGAGGTCGATTAGCGATCAAACAGAGTATAAACTAGTCGACCTTGAGAAGTGACTTAGGTGTTAATACAAAAAATGTAAGTGTTTAAACAGTTTTGTTAACAATGTTCAGACTAAATATTCGAAGATTGCACTTTAAATATGATATTTCAGTTTAGATGTATAATATTATAAGTCGTCAGTTAACGGAAAGAACCAACTCGTGGATAACGGTATGCCGCAGAAACGATAGTGCAACCATGGTTTACGGAATTAAAAAGATAAATATTTATTAATACTTCTCTCCATTACAGAGTTTGAAATTAAGGATTTGTCTTTAAGGAGTCAAGAACGAATTAACGAAGGTATTTTATTCGAAGTGTGACTAACTTTATTCAGTTTATTTATGCGACACTCGAAAATACTAGAGTCAATAACAACTACGTAATTAAAAATTCAAAATATTAATTTTAATACAATTTTATTTTTATAAATTTTACAAATTTTGTCACACAAGATAATAGACTCGTAAAAAATTACGGATACAGGGCTATCCTACTTATAGCGAGGTGTCCGAGCCTCAATTCAAGCCTGCACAAGGCTGTTGCGCCGACGAGAAGGCAGTGCGCCGGCATTACGCTCTCATTGTGTTTACAATCGCACTTCATTGCACACGAATACAAATACAAAAAAAAGTAACATTAAATAGTACTTTTGTTGCTTAATTTTCTACACTGTGACAATATTTCAACAATGTCTATTCCGGAATCATTTGTGCTGTCTGGAGGTGATTTGATGCCGCGAATCGGTTTTGGAACTTGGCAGGTGAGTTTTTTATGCTTTTTTAAATGTGTTTAGATATATCATATCATATATTAAATATCTGAATGTTATATCATACTTGTCTAATAATTTAAGGTATATTTTAAAAGCTACTTTGTAAATAATGCGCATAAATAACAATTATTTTGTATAGTAGCAAAGTTTGATAGTATGTGCTGATACATTTCAAAACAATCAAATGCGAATGAACTCGTGGGAAATGGAATTGTTTAAACGTAACACTTTTTAAGCAAACAGTTGCCTACTACTATTACCATTAATTAAAAAGTATGTTGTGAATTTAAATTAAAAGTTATTTTTTCCCTGTTATAATAGACGATTGTTTTTGTTCTAATTCCAGCTCTACACAGTCGTTACTCTCTTCATTTTCCATGTACTTTTCGGAATTTTTTCTGTTTATTTTCGTACATTCTGTTTTCTTTAATTTGATGTAACGTTTGAAGCAGCTCTTTATCACGTCCCATTTAGATTTGTGAAGTCTGGTCGAGGAATCAGCGATAAAAATAGGTCGGCTACATGTCTCCGCATGGTATATATGTTCAGAGCAATGAGACCAGCCATCACTGCAATAGGAATATGATTCCTCACAATTATCATTAGACGACAGCCCCCTTGAAGTCGACGCATGACAATTTGTACTATCGTTAGAACATTTTTCCTCAACGACACTATCACTACAATACATATCTGACGAAGTCATCAGAATGGAATGTTTTTATGTACATTAACTGTATAAATTTTACATACATTATACATAAACATATATACGAAAAATATTAAAAGACAGATCGAGATTGACTTTAGCTTTGTCTATCAGTCATCAGTGACACAAAGCATAATAAAAAAGATTATAAAAACTCGATAGACCATCTCCTCTATGCATGAAGTGATAAATGCAAAATTAATTTAACCCTCAAGGATGTTTCAATAATTAGGGACGCATAGATATAATATACTGGAACTAGTAGATGCTCCTGGCCTTTCTCTTACATAACTGGGATATTAATAGGCTTTACTATAATCGCTAACACATATCTCTTCTAAATATTTAATGCTAAATTAAAATGCTGGTAATATTATCAAAAATTAACATTTGCTTCTATAGGCACCTTTGTATATATTCTTGTCTTAGTTTTTCCTAAGAGAATGAGGGAGATGAATATACAAGTGCGATTACAGTCAAAACCCACAGTACGATTAACAAGGACAGACACGTATTTAGTGTTTGAATGCAATAGTCCGGTAGAGTTTTAATCAATTGAGCAATTATATTGTTAGGTTTCCTCTACCGCTTAAAAAACAACTTTGTTAAATGAAGTTTTGTAAGTAATCGACAAAAAATATAGCTCCTAACAATTTTATTTCCTTTCTTTTTATTGCATTCTTTTATTTAAGTGAATTATTTTGCACTGTTATATTAATCCTTGAAGAATAACGTACTATTCACTAAGCTTCTATATCGTGACAAGCTAAAAATAGTTCATTTTTGGCTTGTCATGATGTGATTTCATGAATCAAGTTAATACAACGTAATATAATAACATAAGGTTTTGTTTTGTTTGTTCGTCTCATACGAGTTAGCACTGTAAAGCCTTGATGCTTTTTTAACTTGGCAAACATTGCAATAGCGTGACTTGCAAAATAATTCCTATAATTTATTTCTACCGTCGATTATTAAATTTTATTATATCTAAAATTCATGCTGAATTAGTAATGAATTTTGAATTACAAAAGTCTATTGTAATTCTGAAACACTCCTAATTTAATTAAATTAAAACAAATAAAGTTTAGTAGCAATTTAGAGATTAGGGAGCTCCAAGTCTTAGTCTGAGCCGAGGTGACGCAGGATCGCGGAAGGAGACTTATTGTAGGAGGCCAAGGAATATTTTTCTATGGTTGTTTTTTTTTGTGCCACGAAAATAAACTTTGTATGTAATGGTTGATTAAATTTTGTAGGCATCAGATGATGTACTTGAGCCCGCAGTAGCAGCGGCTCTCGGAGCTGGTTACCGTCATTTTGACTCTGCACGTGCCTACGAAAACGAGGCGGCGCTTGGTCGAGCACTCAATCGCTGGATCAACAATGATCCCAAGAAGAGGAAGGAACTATTTGTCGTCACGAAACTACCACCAGGAGGTAAGCTAACAAACATATTTATTGCTACTTTTAAGGAAAAATTTAGATACACATTTTTTTTCAAACAGATTCTGTTTCGAATGTTTGAGTTTTCTTTTTTTAATTAAGATTTCCTTAAACGATTTCAACAAACTTATGCTAAAAGGTGTTCCATGACAAAAGTCGAACAGCAGACCATAGAATTTTATAATTTCTGGGGTTATTATAATAAATCTACACTGAGGGACTGCTTTACTACTGAAAGCATAATGCATGTCCTAATTATATATTTCCAGGTAACAGACCAGACTTAGTGGCGGAGTACTTCAACGCTTCGATGAGTGACCTCGATCTAGACTACCTCGACTTGTACCTCCTGCACACGCCCTTCGCGTTTGAGCACGTTCCTGGAGACCTGCATCCTATGAATCCTGACGGAACCATTAGAGCTGATCTTACTACAGACCTCATCGGAGTTTGGAAGGTATCATTTATTTATAATTATTAATAAAAGACAAAGGACTTTTCGTATTTTAAACACAGCTTAAAAAATCTGTTAGTTTTTTTTCTCGGTTAAGGAGTAAAATTTCCAAAATAATACTTTCTAAATTCTTAAGAGCGTAAAGTAAATAGTTATTACTACACCGCACTAAGAATCGTGATTGAACTCGAGATGTTTCAATAATTGTAAAATTATTTGTAATACCAACGCTCTTTATCCATAGATAACAAGCAATAACTTCATGCGTATTATGAATAAACATAACAATATAATTTATACTTCTTGCATCCTATCTAATGTCAATTTGACACCATCAAAATTGCGTGAAACAAAGAAATCCAAAATGTGCAAACGAAATTCTTGTTTATACTAGCATTTCCAAATAGACTTTTGTAGACTTTTTAAAATTTAAATGATGGGCGTATCTTTTCCCCATTATGGCGCCGGGGAAATGACCACAGAATATGTTTTGAATAGATTTAAAAACGACTCTGTGTACAAAGAATGCTGCTATCCAATAAAAGAACTAAAGCAAAAACCTCATCAAAGAAAAGATAATATTTTGAAGATCTTCAATAACGAAGAAATAATCAAAAACATGAAAGATAAGAAACTAGAGAATCATTTCTCATGGACTAAAGTTTATCGATCGCCAGTTCCTACCAGGCAAATGGATGAGCCACAAAACGGAATCGATTCGATTTGCGAAAGTCTTATTTCGAAACAATCAAATAAAGCAAGTAGAACAACTAAAACAATAAACGACACTCCTCAGTTATTTGAAACGGAAACTTCGATTGCTTCTATGGTAAATACGAGACCTACAATGAGTCAATCGATGACCTGTAAAAAGAATCTATTTAATAAACTGTCAGCTAAAGTACTATGCCCATGTTGTACTGGAGGCGATGACGGAATAGAAAATGCGCGGGAATTATACGACCGTCATAACCCAACTAATTCGTATGAAACGATCGATTTATCGAAACCTAGTGATTACAATGAAGAAGGTTCAATAAAGATGGATACATCTCGCATAAGTACAGAAAATCTACACAAGGAAGGTTTGAGAGACAAACGAAAATGCAACAACTATCAAAAAGTCTTTAAAGCTATCGTTACTAATACCTATAAAAATTTAATTTCCTTATTCCATTCAAAATAGACTAACCGGAAGAAAATCGACATGCACATACATCTATCAAACAATAATTGAAATTATATTAAAAAAAATAACTAACGGAACCATTGTCAGTACTTTTAATATGTATTTTATTAGATTAAATAAGTGACTTTAACTAAAAATATTTTTTTTAGACGAGCGAATAAAATACTGATAATATTAGGCCATTCTCATTGTGTTACACTAAACCTTTGCTGTTATAACAGCACTTAGAACAACCTTTTTTTAGTACTTTTACCATGAAGTAACTAGATATGTTTAATTATCGTCTACATTAACCTTTTACTTTATTGGACTAACCCTTTAGTTGAAAGATGCATTTTTCTTACCGATTTTCTATTTCTTCGTATGGTTTTTTAGTTATAACTGATGATTGATTGAAAAACAAAAGAAAATATATTTTGAAGCGATTTTCGTTTTAACCTTTTCATTGATTATTTTATTAAAAACAATTAAAATCATAGAGTATTCAGTCGTTGGTAAGATGATAATAAATTAATTTTAAACGGTGTATCTGATTCATCATTTTTCAAATAAATTTCACCCGGACCGTATATTTTATTCACCTGTCGATGACCACTACATAGACTCTTTGAATTTTGAGGCTTATCTTGTATATTTAGAGGTGTTTCTTTTTCTTTAATTCTGTTGTAAATACTTGATATTGTATCTATAGAAGTATGGCTAAATCTTTCCGGAACGTGAAGAACTAAAACGTGATTTTTCTTTGTTTTGTTTGTTAGTTTTGTTTTCGACTGTTTGAATCTGCGGATTACATTATATAGGAAGACGTGGATGGTATTGGGTTGTTTCGCCTGATGACGTCGTCGCCATTCCACGTCGAACATGCTGTCTACTGAAGACATTTGTGACATGGATCTCGTCAGCATGTGCGAGATAATCTCCATGCTACAGTTTGAATTCAGGCTGTACTGACATCCGAAGTCTATTGAATTAATCTTAACAGGAAATTCTGTAGTAACTGTATGGTACTTCTTTCTTTCATTGTTCTTTATCATAGATTTATCTCGAATATCTGTTTTACCGTTAACGTTTTTCGATTTGAAAATTTTATTCGTAAGAATTTTCTTTTTTACTTTCTTAAAAAATCTTCTGAATTTCAAAGGAAATTCTGTTGAATTCAATTCTTTACGCATCGGAGCAAATAATTTTTCAGCACCAATGATCGAGATTCGTAGTTTAAAACGTTTAGACGTCGCTTTGCTTCCTCCGGGTTCTTTAGATGTATTTTCTGCAGTACTACTTTCATTTATCATAAAATTTCTGGAATGCATTTTATTGCTTAAATTATTTGTTACGTGATATATCGCATAATGTTTCACGCTACTTCCACTCTTTTATTCGGATAATTGAACGTAATCCACATTTTTATGCTTTCTTTAGGTTTCATTGTGTTTTTTATTAGAACTTGTTATCTTCTACGTCGTCCGATACAACCGCAGTAAAAGATATCTCTAAACGAATCCAATGCTTTCATAACTTTATTAGACCATCCTGATCTTTGAATGGGTAGATGCTTCCTCTGTTGTGGAGCTTTAAACATATTGTATCGAAGAGCTGAAAGTCATCCTGAATGATAAAGATTTATTATATTTTTCTGCAGTTAACATTGTATTATGTTATTTAGTAGAATAATAGATATCTACATTTTTGATAATACAACCAAAATGTTTGTCAACTTTACCGTCATCTGTCATGGATGTACTCATATTTTGATAGAGAATAATTCACTAATCTCTATGTATAGAGGTCATTGGAATAATCTATAGTCAAACAAGGACCCATGAGAGAGTCGCTGCTGTCGCGGTTGATTCTGTCAGAATATATGTAAAACGAAAATGACACAAAAGAAAACTGCCAGATACAGAACAAAAATGATTTTGTGACTAAAATCTAGGCGCTAGTGGGGTGTCATAATTTGGTTTGACTTATGCCCATCGGAACAGATAGATATCCTTGTCAGTCTCGTCAACAATGTCAATGACAATGTCTTTGATGATAAAAACAGTTTTTAGAACACAAGCCTTTGCCCGTGACTCCGTCCGCGCGAAATTAAAAGAAAAACTTATTAAGTAGCCTATGTATTCTTCCAATCCAGAGTATGTTCTACATTTCTGCCTTAAGATCCATTGAGCCGTTCTGGAGTTAAAGATAACTGATAGAAGACTAACAAACATCCATCCATCTAAACTTTCGCCTTTTTATTTATTTAATAAGACTAGTAATATTACCGATACCAAAAAGCCCTCAGAACAAGACAGGACAGATAAGTAAAACATTTTAATTACTGGCCATTATAGCTCTTGTAAGAACCTAAAGTACTACGACCTCACGTAAAAATCATTACTACGTCCTGTAATTTACATAATAAAAATATTGTATTTGTATGTACAATTATCTTTTTATATCGGTTATTCTGTTTAATTTTGACATATTTTACTACACGAATAATCTGGTGAATGTTTTTTTCATGGTGAATTTGCAGGCACTACTCAAGTTGAAGGAGAGCGGTCGTGTGCGTCACGTGGGCGTGTCTAACGTAAACGAGGAACAGCTGCAGCGACTATGCGCGGTGGAGAAACCTGCCTGCCTGCAGGTGGAGGTACACTTACTGTGTCAGCAGAGGGCTCTCATCGCCGCGGCCAACAAGCTTGGTATACCCGTAGTGGCATACTCCCCACTCGGCTCAAAAGCCCTCGCGGATGCTCTAGCCGCAAAAACAGGGTAAGCGAAGTAGTAATTGACCTGTCTTTGTATGTTAATGTCAATTTTTGTAGGGAAACGTAATCAATGTGATAAATATCTGCACATTACAGCTTTAATTTTTTTGTAAAATGTTAGTAGATTTTTGTTTGTTTATTAATATTTCTTATACCATTACAACTAAGCTCTATGCTTGTGCTAGGACAATTGTCGAAAGGCGGGATTCGAACTCTCGTCGACAACTAATCGGATGTCCGTACTCTTAACCATTAGGCTATTGGCGTTTAAAAGTTATAGTTTTGTTATTAAATTATACGTTTACTCCTTTGTATTAATAGGCGAGAATACCCCGACCTACTACAGTTACCGGCGGTATTGAAAATTGCAAAAACTCATGGTAAAACTCCTGCTCAAGTGCTACTGAGACATTTACTTCAGACCGGAGTCGCGGCCATACCTAAGAGCACCAACCCTGAGAGAATCAAACAGGTAATTAAAAAAAACATCTATTTTTACGTTTATTTCGTCAGTAGATAAATTAAAATTAAAGCTTAAAAATCTTATTAATATTATTAACGCCAATATTTGGCTGGATGGATGGATGTTCGTTACAAAGTATCTCCAGAACGGCTACATGGACTCGCTGAAATTTGGCATCTATGTAAAACATAGTCTGGAACAACACATAGGCTACTAAATAAGTTTTTTTTTTAATTCAGCGCAAACAGAGTCGCGGGCAACAGCTAGTCTCATATAAAATGATAATGTTTTTTTTTAGAATATCTCTGTATGGGATTTCAAACTGTCAGATGAGGAGATGTCAGAATTACGCGCGCTCGACCGCGGCGAGGAGGGTCGGATATGTGACTTCTCTTTCTTTAAGGGTATTGAGAAGCATCCAGAATTTCCTTTCAAGAAATCTTAAAACTATGTCAATATAAATCTACTCACGTCTGTTTAGTTAACACTAAAGGTGTATAGGCTTAAAAATATACATAATTAAAATATTTTTAAAAATATGTTTAATGCACATGAAACTATATTACAAAGATATATAATAAACAAATATCCAAAAAAAATCCTATTCATTTGTACTGTATTGTATTAAATACACACGCAGAGTATTTCGTGAATATTAAAATTAATGCACATTATTTAAATAGGAAATGAACAATGGCCTTTAAGTAAAACTAACCTTTAAACCTTATTTAAACGGTAACATCGAATATGTCTGTAATGTTAATATTGTTTCAAGATATGCATCAAAATTATTTATTTTCTGAAAACATACCACAAGGATAATAATTAAATAAACTCCCGCCAAATTAACCATGTCTATGAATCCTCTATCGAACATTATGCCACAATCTATAAAATAAAAATAAAAACTTATTTGCCATACGTTTGGAAATAATGCAAATCTATGGTAGATATTAAAAATCGATTCAGCCGTAAAACTTACAGAAATTCATAATAAAATGGACATACGTGTACGTATTTATATTGCTGTAGCAATACAAAATTATTAACCTATTCCTATTAAGGGAAATACAATAGCAAGAATAATAAATACAACATTTCAAACTTTGGAACAAATATATGTAAAAGTATTAATGTAACAAGAAAAATAATTTTATAAACGCATTGTCATGTTAAATAATGCCTTTATTTCTGTTCTGTTAATGAGTTTATAATAAAGGATATATAACTTTCCTTACCGCTTAGTTCTTCCAAGACTTTCTACAGAATTGAACGTGTTTCCCCGATTAAAGTTAAAAAAGTGCACGTATAAATTAATTATGTCGTTAATTTTGAAAGGAGCCGTTAATTTGTATTACTATCTCAACTATGATATTGCGGGTAAGTAAGTTTTATATATTAAATATATTTTGTGTCGATTTCGATCTAGGGACTACCTTAAACGTAAATAAGTCTAAGACATCAGGCCGACACAGACTCCGAAATAATAATTATTATTATAAAGTATAGAGATATTTCAGGAAAGAAATTAAATTTATTACTTTCGGAGGTGTGTCTTAATGACATTATTTTGTTACTTTTCAACGCATTTTGTTTGCGTATGTTTTTTTTTATAAAGTCGTTTTTTTTTATTTTTCTTACAAATTTTGTTTTATAAACACAATACTGAGTGTAAAGGGCCATCACTTAACATTAATATTTACTTTTTCTTGAGTTGATTTTGAAGTACCTATATTTCGCATAATATGAGCGTTTAAAAAAATCCTCTACTATTGCTTTTTCTATAAGTCGCAGGATGGCCAAAGAACTTTAGGCAACATGTTTTTTTTTGGTTCTACAATAAAGACAAATTCGGAAGATAATAAAGCAACCTACATTTGCCTTGGCTAAATTATTCTTCTTTGAAAGAGTATTCTGACTAGTTCACTATATGTGAATTTTTATTCTATTTATAATAGTATTTATTCCTTTTTTTTTGCAAAATTGTTATTATTATTTTTAACTTTTAGAGCTTACGACACAAAACTGGCCACTCATGAAGACGCCGTGGCCAGGTTTGCTTATAATTGCAATCTATATAATGACCGTGTGCCGTTGGCTCCCAGACTGTATGAAGCATCGCCCCCCATATGACTTAAGGAAAACTATAGTGTTGTACAACATATTTCAAATTATATGCTGTATTTATGTGCTTTATCAGGTAATTATTCACCTTTACATCTCTTTCATAAATATTGTAAAGTATGGCCATTATAGGTACATGTCGGGGACTAGGTTGGGATAACGCAGGCTCGGGTAAACTAAACTTGTTGCCGGAGACCAAGACCCACATGTCGCTGCGTCGTCCTAATTAGTTATAGTATTGTATATTGAATTTATCACAATGTTTAATTCAAATCATAACCTAAATAATTAAGGTCCACGAAAGTTAGTTCTGTAAATATTCTTGATAAGTTAGTCAAAAAACGTTAAGTATGTGTAATGTATTTTTAATTTCAGAGTCTAAAATTGGGATGGTTGAGTCGTTACCGTATTGTTTGTGAACCTATAGGTGATGGACCCCAGAGCATTGACTATGCCTGGAAAGTTTGCTACGCGTACTTTGTTATAAAATTAATGGATCTGCTGGATACGGTGTGTGTTTTATTAAGAACAAAATTGTTGCAAACTTGCGCATTTACATTTGAAAATTGATAAATTCGCTTTACATCACCATGTTGCTGATGAACTGAACTGAACTTTATTATATATTAGAGCTCGCACGCAACTTCGTAAAAGCATATAAAATATATAAGCCCTCATGCATCAAACAAACAGACATACATTTTAAAAAATGTATTTTTCTTTATTACTTACACAAATACATCATGTGTACGATATATAACTTTTTAGATGCTACGTACATACACTCAAATTTTTATATGTATAGATTGTTTAATTGCAGGTATTTTTTGTATTAAGAAAAAAACAAAATCAAGTGACATTTTTACATGTTTACCACCATATGGGAATGGTGGCAGTCGCTTGGGGAATAGTTAAATGGGTACCAGGTACATAAAAATTGTATATATTATAAAAAAAATAACAAAAAATCTAATAGCAATTTTTGTTTTGACCACACATGCTTATTACAAAAGTATTACTCTACTGCTGAACAGATATAGAACACTACATGTGTGCCGAATTTCACCAAGATCTATTGAGTTGTTCTATTGAGGAGATACCTTTAAATATCCATCCATATATCTAAACATTCGCATTTATAATAGTATGTTTTCTTACAGGTGGACACATGACGCTGATGATACCTATCAATTCATTCGTTCATATAATTATGTACACGTATTATTTGCTGACCGTATGGGACGAGTCCTACAAGAAGTCTCTCTGGTGGAAAAAGCATGTTACACAGGTACAAATTGTGAGTATATCCCTCAATTTCCACAACCGAATTACATTTAATATAATTATTGAAGCCTTTTACTTATAAAACGGTTTTATTTGACTTCCTAATTTCTGTATAATATAGTGTCCAGCAGTGGACTAATATAGGCTGATGATGATGATGATGATGATGATGATAGTGATTCAAATTAGACCCACTTCCCTTTTATAGATCTGTTTGGTATAGTCTTTTTGAAATATCTTCACCGCTCTGAACATCGCACGAGTCGTTACTCAGAACACGATATTAAAAGTAGCGGAATATAAAGGGTTCCGAAGAAAGGGCCAAGATATTTGAAAAATACTAAACATATCTTTAGTTTTGGTCAATACATTATAATAAAAAAATAATACCGATTAATGTTTAAAACTTATTTTTTTTACGTTTTTTTTTATATCACAAGGTGGAAAACTAGCGAGCGGCGACCTCGTTTTTGTTTATTGTAAACAAAAGTTTTATTTAATGACAACGTCCTGTAGTATTGTTGCGACTATATTGAACTGTGATTCAACTTTGTTTCAGATACAATTCACCATACTGCTGGTACATTTCATCGCGCTAGTCATAGCCAAGGATTGCTCTTTACCGCGACAACCTGCTTACATTATGATACCTCAAAACCTATTTATGTTTCTCTTATTTAGTGAATTTTATTACAAAACATATGTACAGAGTAAGAAAGATAACTAACTTTAATTTTTATAGGGATTTTGAAGAAAAGAAACGTAATATGTTTTAATAAATTGTAATTTATTTGCTCCCGTCATAACACTTTTACTTATATTAATTAAGTACTTTTTGTAATTTTATTACGTCACATCACAGATGATAATTATAACCAAAAAATATAAACACTGTTATTTCAAAAAATCACGTCTGCATATCGCTATTTTTTTTTAAGTATATGTCAGATTCTTCTCAAATATACAGGAGGATTTTTAATGGATGGATACATTAAGAGTCATCTGTATATTTGTAATTAAATACAGGCGATTCTTAACAAATGGATAAATTAAGGATCATCCTGTATACAATTTAACTGAGGCGCGCAAACAAATTTTGCTTGACAAGATCTATTACATTACTTTGACAGAACGAATCTATGACAGCTTTTGTCAAATTAAGTTTGTCAGTGGCGCCCTCTACTTCGTCATCGTCAATTTGTTTGCCATCATTAGCAAACATCTTTAAATTCTCTTTCAATAAATCAATTAAATTATTTGTGCTTATCATTGACGGCAATTCTAGCTTATTTAATTTATTATCTAGTAATTTCTTTAAATCTAATTCTTCCTCGACTTGTGTCTCTACTTCTGAGTTAACGTCACAAGTTCTCTGTCGTTTGACACGTCGTAGTTTCTTTTTGTTTTCTAAGTATGTCTTAGCAACTGTGTCGAGTTGTAGAAATAGTACTGCTAAAGGTGTCTCTGATATATCATCCTGTAAATATATCAAGTATATAAATCAATTTAATATATATATGTCTATTATGTTGTATGTTATATAATGTGACTTATTTAATGCTTAATGATAATATTACTGGTTTCTGAAATCAAAATCTCTGTACAAAATATATTGTTACCCTTGTCATTATCTTTGACAAAAAAGAGATAAAATATGTTTTCAATGGGGATTTTGGTATCAGAAACCCACAGTAAATAATTTTGGTATTTACGGAGTGTTCAATCTCTTATGTTGGTGGCCAAAACCAGTGCAGTAAGTATGCAATTTTACTAATGTGTAAAGTGATAAAATTCATAAAATTAATTGTGTGCTCTAGAATATTTTATATTTTTCTATTGTAATTTCTATATTTCATGAATTCAAAGAATAACATGAACCTGCAATACATACCTCATTTGGATTGACTAGAAGCTTGGCAGTTTCTTGAGGCAAATCTTTACATATTTGAGCTACTAAAATTTTTATCAATGCTTCAGAAACCTGGGTTGATGTATCCTTTTCCTGAAATAAACCAATTAAATTTATAAAAAGAAAAATGTATAATCATCATCGATTTAATGTAAACAATACATACATGGGGTAACCAAATGTTAAGGGCAATATTAACATTGTCAATATTTTGCACATAATGCCACCAGCCACTGGGTACTATCAAAGCATCCCCCGCTGAAAGTTCTACCAACCGAGCACCAGTCAAACCTGTAAATATAGCAACCATATGATTAATCCCTATTTTTTTTCCATAATTGCCAGCATTAAAAAAATAAAAAAATATATTATTTTTGTAATCTGACAGTAATTGTCAAAATTTTCATTGTAACTATTCTCAATTTCTTGTACAAAATAATTCGTTGCAATTAGCTAAGAAATTAAAAAAAAAGTATATACTAGTCTATGAAAAAAATTACCATTAAAACTATCTAAATTACTGGGACAGTAGAAATTCAGTTCGCTATATACACTTGACTCTTCATAAGGCACTCTGGTTGGCTTCAGGTTGCCAGTTTCCGGAGGAAACAATATCCAACGCTTTCTGAAACAAAAAAAATTGACAATGAAAAAGTTTTTAACAAGTACCATTGGCTCTCAAGACTAGTTCACTTTTTATGAAAAAATTGTAGTGGCATAGAATGTGTTAATATTTGAATTTATCTTCCTAATCACATAGTAACAGCAGTAGGGAAGAGACTGTCCACACTTTAACATTCTCTTATTCTATCCTGCGCATTTGTTTTCAGGCCACATTTGTGACCACTTTTGGAATTAATTTATATAAGTACACCAACCTTCCATACAACTGTGTTATGATATTGTATCCATAAGTATCCTGGTGTGCAGGTGTATGTGCCCCTTTACTCCCAATCCACAGAGTACTGTGTGAGGCATTTTTATCAGGATGCCCAAACTTTTTCCATGAAACCTCCTGAAGGAACATATTATTTAAGCTTTTAAATCTGCAGATTAAGTAAATTACGTTAAGTTTTCCGACATCTAAATCTAGCAAACATAAGTAAAATTCTTGCATAACTCTTTAATACAAAGAAGAATATGATACAATGATGACACACTACATGAGAAGTCATTTTACCTTAATTAATTCATTATCTGAATTGAACCATTGGTGTAAATATTTATAGTCAAAATACATCCACTCTTCACTGGCCTCTGCTTTTCCAATAAACTCATTAAATGTCATTAACCTCTCATTGCACATCCTTTCCCAGCAAGGACCCGTAGAAACGAAATTTCTGTTCATACAACGGAAAGGAACCGCTTTGTCTCCGAAAACCGAAGACCACTTTTCCAAATTCCACCGGCATAAGGGCCAGTCGTCAACAAATTGTCGCAAAATAAGCGGTATAGCAGTCTTTTTTATTATTTTTTTAATTAAATCCTCGTTATGAATAGAAGTCATGTTGGTTTTACAGTAGTACGAATTCAATGCCAATATTTTACCAGTAATTAGTCATCATTTCATGAGATCATTTTTCTAGGCTCATTAGAAGTTTGAAATAGTAAATGTTTTGACATAAAAACTTGACTTGTCCTTGACATATGTTTTTTTTAATAATTATAGTCTGGTTACAAAACCTTTAAGCCATTCTCTTGTGTCTTGGCGGGAATCTTCGAAAGATGGCCCTTATAATTGGGGTGAACTAAATTATTTTTCAGTATGTTGAACACATAAAATTATTAGTTAATCAAAACATACGCCGCGATTACAATTAAATACATTGACAACTTGACGACAACCAGCAGCTTTTATAGTGATAGCAAAAATATTCGACTTCTGACTCCAGACAAAGAGTATATAAAATAACTCTAGACGTCGAGGAGAACCAAGGAAAAGTAAGAACCATACTAGTTACATTCTCTTTGGTAAGAACTATCAAGTAGCACGATCTATGGTCTTTGGACTGTCATCAGCGTACTCTTTGGTCACCGCGCTTGCAGCTGTCAATGCCAACGTCGTTTTGTGCATTTTTCGTGTTGATTATTTTTAATTTGAAAACTCCAACATGAATACCATCATTGTAAGTTAATAATGCGAAATAGTTATCGAGTTTGTATTTATGAATGTTTAAATTTTATTACTTCTTGGTAAACGAACAGCTGACCTTAAAGTTATACTTTTGATGATGAAGTCATAATGCAATAACCAATAACCTAAGCATTTCCATATGTAATTTATTATATACTGTGTATAATAAATATTATATATGTATATGAACCTTTTGTAATAAATAAATTAATGAATAAATACTAATTTGTCTTGTATTTAAGTTTACATAGATGATTTATAATACAACCCAAAAACAATTTTCTTGTCATTTCAGCTACAAGAAAAATTAAAATTTAAAAATGTATAATCATGGTTGACTTTATGAAAAGAGCTCTTGAATTAGCATCAGAAGCATTGGATGCCCAAGAGGTGCCAGTGGGCTGTGTCTTCACAATTGGAAATACAATTGTTGCCGAATCAAGAAACTGTGTTAATGTTACTCGGAATCCAACAAGACATGCTGAAATAAATTGTATTGACTTTATTATAGAACATTGTAAAGCAAACAATATTGACTACAATACCTATTTTACAAATATAAGTGTTTATGTGACTGTGGAACCTTGCATTATGTGTGCTGCAGCGTTGCAGAATTTAAAAGTAAAAGAAGTTGTCTATGGTTGTGTAAATGACAGATTTGGTGGGAAAACTGTACTTGATGTAAGTGAATTCTATGTTCAATATTATGAACTGCGTGGAAACTTATTAGCAACAGAGGCAATGGCGCTTTTAAAACAATTCTATAAAGGGACAAACCCAAATGCACCAGAATCAAAAGTGAGAAAGAAAAAGGACAATTAATTATTTATTTTTAAGGGAAGCATAACAACAACTTAGTTGTACAAAAATCAACCTGTACTTTATTCCTATTGAAAATTGTGTGAATTTTCTTAATTAATTGACCTTATGTCAAATAAGTTATATTTTTATTTATTCAGATTTATTATAAAAAATATTGCTAAATAGTAAAATAACTACAATTTATACAAAATACATTATTTATAAATGGCATCAATCTTATTTCCTATTTTGAAAAGACTGATCTGTGTCCTGAATAATTTAATTTTAGAACCCAATATGTCTCATGCAATGTTAATATATTGCAAATTATCAAGGGAACCTACCGAACTCTGCATGCGAGAAAAATATCTCCACTTCATAAAAAAAATATGAATTTGTGGACTTGCATATAGTTAAATTTACATTGTACTAAGTTTTGGACAGGGCTTGGTCTGCGGGAAATTATGAAAAACTATAATAAATTTCATCAAGATCCATGAAGATTCCATCTCTGTTCTGGAGATACCTTACAACAAACATCCACTTTTATAACATTAGTAAGAAGGTGGGAGTGGGTTCATAGAAAGTAGCGTAAAAAAAGTTTTCTTTTAACTGAAAACCACAGACAAAATTGCTTCTAGGATATTCAATTCATTTTGTAAAAAGCTTGAATCAGATTTCTATTGTAACTCTCCTCTGTCCTGAAATCTGCCAGTGATAAGAAGGCTCTTATCAGAAACAAAACAAACCCATTTGTCATCATTTTGTCTTTTGATAGGGTACATCTATCTCCATAAGTATGTAGAGCAGGTATAGTGTTTTTAAAGATGATTGTGGCAATAAAAAGGCAACAGATTATTAAGTGTTATATTTCTTAAACCTTACAGAGAGACAAAATTTAAACTTAACTAAGAATCAAACACTTATGTACATTACACCATATGCAAGACAAAATTTTAAGGTCTTATATGATTTCTTTACAACATCTATACATGTGTATAAAGATACACATTATGCGTTAACAAAAGCACCTAGAAATATTAGGTCTATTAATTGAATTTGAATATTGCATTCTCATAACTGGAATGTCCTGTTACAAAATTAATTAATACTAAGTTTACAGATTCTCAGCCATACCTTTTTATTGTATTTGTATGGTTTATTATTGATTACATGCCTCAAATCAGACCTGTTTATATTCTAAAAACTATTTAATCTACATTATTTTCTAATGTGCTGTATATTTTTCTTATATTCCTACAATACACTTACACATTTATCATAAATCCATTTCCATTACGACCTTGTGATATGAAATTTACGTAATGTTCTACTAATGCTTACAATTTATAATGTATATGGCTCATAATAGATTTTAATGTAATTTTTATCTAATTATGAAAACAATTATGCCTATAAGTACATTTATGTTCATGGAATTTTTAAAGTTTTAAATGCAATTATATTTCTTACATTTATAACAAGCTTTTGTCCACAACTCCATCAGCATGGAATAAAATAAAGCAATGAGATAAAAAGTGACCTATATTTGTATCCTGATTCTAAGCTACATCCCTACCAATTTTTTAAATCAGCTCAGCTATTCCTGAGTTATAAATAGTACAACTAACACAACTTTCTTTTATATATAGATTCGAAATTTGCAATAACATACATAGGTACATGTACTATATTTTTAGAAGTATTGTGTTCTATATATGCTGTTCCTGCTTAATTTTCATGTCAATCTAGTAAATAATGTTAATTACATATAACAGATATAGCTGGTCTCAATGTGTTTAATCTAATCATAAAAAATAAGTTTTAAAATTAATTGTCACATCCAATTTGGTTTTACAATAAAAATTAAAATATTTCAACAACAAACAATAACCACATCATATAATGACTTAACAAACTAAAATATAATAACTTAATGGTTACTATTAATACATACAACTGTACAAATATAAAAGTGAGATCTATCCTGGGAATATATACACAATTTTAGAATAATTTAATATAACTACTGACAAAATATCCAGGGACATCACAGCAAAACTAATCCTAATAAATGAGATCTCACAATTACATTATTACAGTAAAAAAACTATTCAAAATTTGTACAATAACAAGTCACTAAACATTTAAGGCAAGCAACTAAACATATGATATATTATGCTCCATTTTGTCCCAATGATAGATCTACATCCTTGTGGTTTAATATTCCCCTCCCTAATCACTGGGGTTGTGGTAACCATTAAGAAGAGGAGTGCTTGATTGTAAGTCTTCAGTATTCTCATGTATACCATTTGTTTCAAGTTGATTTCCATTAGTAAGAACTTCACTTGTGGATGGTGGACCTGTACCAGGGCTGTCACATCGGCTAGAATTACTAGCACTGTCGGAACTGGAGGAACTGTCGCTTTCCGAATCTTCACTACTACCTTGTGTCTGATGACGCAAATGATCATTTTCCGCCTTCAACGTGTCATTTACTACTTGGAGATCGCGAATTTGTTCATCTTGCTCTTTAAGACGTTGCATGAGTTCCGCTATGGAAGGCTCATCCGTAGAACAAGATGCAGATGTCTCTGAGGTGTCTGGATCAGTCAGCATGCTTTCTCTATCTGTAGTAGAAGAGTCTTTGTCCATTATCGTGGCATTGTCCGATTCCGGCTCCTTAATTTTGTAACGCTCTGTTCTTTTCACAAGATTATCATACTTAGTTTGTAAAACAAGGTATTCCTCGATCAACTCAGTTTTGGACATGTTATTTAAACGTTCACTTTGTGCGTCTTCGTAAACACTGGAAAATTCTTTTGTCAAATATTCTTCTTCATCTTCCGGCAGCGAAAAGAAATAATTATCTTCAGAATCAACGCTGAAACTCGAATCACGGGTACGTGCGGAGGGTGTTCTTAAATTATGGAAATTGTTTTCGGGCTCCGGTTTATGAATTTCCATCAGAAACTGATTGTTGTTAAACGGTGCTTGAGTTTTGGCCAAAACAATTTTACGAAATCTATTGATTCTTTTAGATTGATCGTTCTTCCTACGTTCTTGCCACGGAACTTTTGAAAACGGTTTCATAATTTTGCGTTTAGTTTTCCCGCGCCTTCTCTTCTTTTTGAAATTCGTTTCATGCTTCGGTTTTGATACCTCAACTATAGGTGGCGCTTCAACCACTAAAAGTGGTCGGGCAGGATCGCCATCTTTTATTTCTGCGATGTTATTTACATCCATTTTATGTCCAGAAAATTTTCAAATTTTAACTTTTATTTCAAGTAAATTTCACTTTTTCACTAAAATTACCACTTAATGAAACCACAATAGTCAATATAAATATTAACCTGTACCAATTACAGACAAGAGATACAATCCCGACATCAGCGAAATCGCCATCTTCCTTTTATATTTTATCCATTCCATAGGTATACAAAGATGTTTATATAGCAAACATGTTAACAAGTGTTGCCTTAAAATCACGTTGATTATGCCTATAATATTTAATCAGTATTTCAACATGATGTATTAATAGTTATTGATTGTAACTATTCTAAGAAAATTATCCATTATTTTTAATAGCTCTAAACTATCAACGATATAGTACTTCTAGTTTAGAAACATGATGGAAGTTTTAATCATATAGGAATTGCCGTGCATTAGGAAAACAATTTGGATGAAATTGGGTTTTTAGTGATTAAATGTAAACACAGATCTACGGGCAAATAAGGAGTAATATAGGAGAGGAGTTATAACTGCACAATTGCTTACCTTTTTTCTTAAGATTGCCTATAAACATTACAATATTTCGTCAGTGAACTCTTTTTCTTTTAAAACTTTAAGGATGTTACAAAAATCAAACAAATAACATAAATATTTCATAACAAAAGACTTCGATTTACATACTTTGAAGTCTGAATCGATTATTTCCTACTAATCGATGTTTTTGCGCAGCTCACTCACTATAAAGCTAAAATTGATAGATACCAAATGTAGCCTATTTTATTGGCCCACTTATACAACTCATGTATTTAGTAATATAAAAAAAACAAATGAAAATTTCAATGAACAGTGCCTTTCGCCAACCAAGTGAGCGAACTCAAAGCTGGCAATTTTTAAATTGTCTATTCTCTAATTGTTTATAGTTGATGGTTGACACTTGACAGTTGTCATGTCAAATATCATTATCTTTGTCGTGAAACAAAGTTGATTAAGCTATTGATTTTGAATTACTTAAATTTGTCCAGTTCATCAAAAAATATGAATTTCATTTCTTAGTTATTTTATGTATTTGCACTCAAAATATACGGACAGTATAACGGCACTCATCTTAATATTTAAGCTTGATTAAATAATGGCTGATGACATTGTGTTTGAATTGTTACATTCAGAAATAATTAACTATGTTCTGGAAAATTCAAAAACATCTAATGGAAGTAAAGTAAGTACTTTAACATAATCTCACTAAAAAGCATGTGTCATTAGGATAATACGACAAATTATTTTGTTTATGCTTTTTAAATAATAAGTCTCTTTACATCTATTGTACAGGAAGTGGACTTATCTCTTGTTGAGTATATAGGTTTTGCTGCTGGTTATAAAATAATGGAGAGGTTGACTAGAGAATGGCCGAGATTCAAAGATGAATTAGACACAATGAAGTTCATATGTACGGATTTCTGGACTTGTATATATAAAAAGCAAATTGATAATCTGCGCACTAACCACCAGGGCGTGTATGTACTGCAGGATAATGCATTTCGTTTTCTTACAAACTTCTCAAACAGTCAACAGTACTTAGAATTTGCACCGAGGGTAAGGGAGCATTTTGTTTATTGCTTTAATACATGAAAATTGTAGTGTGTAGTGTCATAGTCTTTATGTTAATTTAAAGGCAAAAAATCCTGTAAATTGTAGAATTTTTCAACATCTTAGGATAGTTTGTGCTTCCATATTGTTAATTGAGTAAACAAAGACCACATAACTTTTCAGACTTTCATTAAAATGTCTCATCTTAGGTTTTACTGGTAAATCTTAAGATATACTGTCCTTCTTTGCAATAGAAAGCTTTTATATGCTCTAACCACAGATAATATTCTGATTTCATACTTCTTTTTATTTTCAGTATGTTGCCTATACATGTGGACTAATAAGAGGAGGTCTGGCTAACTTATGCATAAACAGTGTGGTAACTGCAGAGGTACAGTCAATGCCATCTTGTAAATTTCACATACATGTTCAAAGAACATAGATTATATTGTTAAAGTATAATAAAAACTATTTGTCTTTAAATATTTCTTTAAAGCTTTGTTTTTTTTATTGTCTTTTGGTTTTGGAGAACTAAAAAAATTATAGAAATTAAGCAAACATTGTTTAAATGGTGTATTTATTAACAAAGATCAATGAAAAACATACTGGATTATTTATTTCTGTTCCAAAGACCAAAAGTTAAAAGAACATAATTAACATGAAATATAAATAGAATTTGATGAAACATAAATTAATTGAATAGAACTCAACAAACAGGATTTTTCCATGAAGATGGTTTAGCTTGGTTGAATATAACTATGAAATTCATTAGAAGCCCGATACAACACAATGTAACAGTGGTGGTATACAGAAATCTATCATATAATCCACCTTTAAGCCAAACTGGCTTTCCATCATCAACCTGCAATTTGATATATTTATAAGAAATTTTACATTTAGATGAATTTGCCTCCAAAATAAAATTTGCAGTGTAATAATATTGCAACTGAAATGAGTCTAGCAGATCAGATCTCCTAAAGGTTCGATAAATCATGACAAATATTACAGTTCTATGTTATAATAGTAGTTTATATATGATTAAAATAAAATTATTATGAGATAAAAATTTCCTTTATTTTCTACTAGCAACCCTGTTTTTTTATTTTACGCTACACTGTTGCCATAAGTGTTTAGTTAACCATAGACAAACACCTACTTGGGTTCAACATATCGTATGAGGAACCTGCGCAATAAATATTCTTACTTAATTAATTACTTGTAAACGTTCCAACCCATATTATGTGTGAAATAAAAATGTACCTGAAATTTAGCCTGCAAGGTTTTCTTCTTTACCAGAGTTTGACAGTTATTTATTCTGCTAGTAGAAATGAACCTAGTAGCAAAAACTAAGTTCTGTAAAAGAAATACCAATTTAGTAAACCAAAATACGATACTTTCTAAGACAAAATCGATATAACATTAGTTAAAAATTAAACGTGAAGAAAATAAAAATAGCATGAATGCGTATTTGAAATTGTTAATATCCTCTAAATTAATATTGTAGAACAGACTAGCAAATGGTGTTTGTAACAAAAAATACAAACAAAGCTTAGAAGATACAAGGTATAAGTAATTCCTCTGAGGTTTAAAAGGAAAATTAACGTATCGTCAACAATGATTTGTGTTACTAATAAAAAGACTTGCCTTATTCAAAAACGCCATATTTTATAAAGTAGCTTTGACTTTGAGCAAAGTATTAAATTTCAAGTTACATAAGATCGATATAAAGCTAAACTTTTGTTAGAATATAAATATCAATCTTACAAAATCTTGTTTTTATTAAGAGTTTACAGCAGTTGTCAAAATCATTTTTTTTAAATATATTTTACACTTTCAATTGTTGCTTTACCAAACAGGATGGTAGCTATTAGAATTTAATCAGACCTACTTCATCTAAACCTGCAATTTTTAAATAGATCTAGATTTTACTAAAAGTAATTAGTAAAGTGATACAACTTCAATTCCCCAAAACCGAATTAAAGTTATCGGGTCTGTAGTGCGTATTGAATGTTTGACAGTCTTTTAACATTTAAGAATAAGAATAAATTTATTTCACAAAAACACACTAAAATAGTATCCATTGAAATATCTTACCGACCCCGAACTAGGCTAAGCCTGTATCTCGGGGCCTAGAAGTGCACTAACCATGAACAAAATAACAGTGTGTACATCATCACACAAAGTACGGTTTAAAGGTTTACAAGAGACATCTAATAATCATATCGCAACGGCAAATTTCTTGTAAACTATTCAATTCAAATCAGTATTTTGATTATGGCCGTTAAAATTAAGATATTGTCTATGCCCAAACTTTTCGCGTTCCTATACTTTTTGATTGGCGGTTTTACTTCCTTCGCGCTTCCTTTCCGTCATTCGCTCCGCTCTTTCTATTTTACAGAAAATGGCTACCGAAGAGTTGGTGACTGAGCAATTTCAATTTTTAGGAATAGATATACAGAAAGAAGTATTAACAAAATGTGAGTAAACTAGTATTCATCTATGTATTGTCAACGTAGAGGTCTCCTAGAATATCAAAATCCAACTTTAAATAAAAGTTAGTTGTTGTTTGTAAAACTTCAACGCTAAGAAATTAATGTTCAAGGTTGTTTCTTTATTCATGTCTTACAAGGTGTAAGTTTATGTGAAGAATATAACGTTGATGCTGAAACTTTTATTGAACAATGGATGGCGTTCAGTTTGACTCACTTAAACGGCTGTCCGCCTACTTTGGAGAACTTAAAGTTACTTGAGAAAAAGGAATTTTCCAAAGCAACAAGTAGGCCCAACGCTCTCGCTAATGATGCGGCAAGTACCGGCTCAAGTTTGACGGTTTACGGGGCGCAAGTTTCCACTCAGTATCCTTTTTTATGTTTAATGTCCACGTGTTTTATGTTCATTTTTTAATTTTAAGCGACTTTTAAAAGATTGCATATTTAACTGTGACAGAAAAATAACGTATCTATAACTTTCAAAACTTTTACCTATAGGTTATGTTGTGATATTATTTTATCTAATGTTATTTAAATTATTAAAAATATCTTTCATTTGAATCGCAAATGTTTCATTAACGAACAGGCCAGATAATGAAGTGCTCTCGGATTATATGACGACTACTCCAAAGGTAACTTTTATTTTATTAATTTTTTATACATTATAATTTTTTAATTGTGGGGACAATAAATGTATTACTTAAGCATTTCTCGTGCATTATATTTATAGCTTTTGAAGAAAACAATAATCTGTTTATGCTGAATGGGTATATGTCTAGTAGCACAGTACCTCTAACCTGTGACTAGATCTACACTCATTGAGTACATCCAGAATGATCAACGCAAGAACAACTAAATATGCTGTGAAGAACCTTATGTAGCAGTAAGCATTTTTTAATCAAGACACTTGTATGTTAAAGTTAAGGAATGCACTACAGAGTTAGGGTATAAAGATGCAGTACCTAGGGCCCTCGGTGGGGATTTAGAATGTGCTGATGATGATGATGACCTAGAAATTATACTATAGTATGAATTAGTGATGGGTAAATCAAGTAACATTCATGACATGCAGATCAGCTTACACTTCATGTGAATATCAGATCATGGAAAAAAAAATTTTTGCCAGCTTGAATATTTTTTGGAATCTTTCTTTGTGTTTTCAATGGCTTCTACATAGATAATTGAATATCAAATATAATATTTACATTAAAAGGACAGAATTACAGTTGAAGATGGAATGAAATTCCATGAGACTCCAAAGATTTTTTCGGTTGTAGAGGTTTCTCTCTAAACTGAGTTCCTTGCTTATAGAGGTTGTCGATTGGGACCATATAATGACTCAAGTAAAAACAGACAATAGGCAAGTAAAATAAAAAAACACTGAGGGTCAGTAAATATATGTTACAATAATTTATGTAGGAGCCATAATTTTCTACTAAAGTTATGCACTAATTTAAGAAATATAATTATTTTGTACAGGTTGAAATTGTGCATCTTGACTTGATGATATTTGTGGGCGAGTTTGCTTCTGGTTCATGTCTTTATGAAATCATGACTAGATCCATACTCGTCTGCAGCCATCAACTCATTCAACATGGATTATATTTAACACTTTTAATGCCACTAAGACACTAAAAGGAACATGCAGCGTAACTTTGGCACTCAATGTGTTAAATGGTAATATTTAAAATTCCAAAGACAGGCATTTATAAGATTAGATTGTGGCAATGATATAAATTGTATCACTTTGTGTACACAATTTAAACTATCCTATTCCTATCAGTTTACATGAATATGAAGGATTTTATGATTTCTAGAAACTTCTTTGAAAAGTTAGAGCTTAGATTGTGAGTGAAATAATGTAGTAAAATTTCTACATTAATTAGGAAATGTTTCATGTTTCAAGGTTATATTTTTATTTCTAACATTACATAGCTTGGCATATTAACATTTGAATTTGATGATTGTTTTGAATTATATTTTATTATTATGTTGTGATTTTTTTTGGTAAAGAACTGTAATTGTACTTATAATTTCTAATAGTAGCTTTTTTTGTTTCTCTACCCACTAAAAGGATTGTAGTGGATTTTTTTATATAGATATAAAAATGTTCATCAAAATTATTGATAATTTTCAATTCCAGAGGGTAAAAGTAGAAACAGAAGTGATAACAACTCAAGAGTTACAACCAGCAACATACTCACCTGTTGTGTAAGTACTCTTAACATAGGAAGCACTATCCGTAGGTTTCCGATACCAAAATCTCTGTATAAAACATATCAACATCCCTGTCATTATCTTTGAAAAATTAGAGATACCAATATGTTTTAAACTGAGGTTTTGGTCTTAGAAACTCATGGTAAATTACAAACAGTTGAAGTTCTTTTTCACAATATTTATGAACCAAACATTTAATGTATGTTGTAAACAATTGCTCAAAAAAAGAATCAATAACTTTATTCCATCATTCAGTAACTGTCTTAACGGAAGGACAACAAAGTGATCCTACAAGGGTTCCGTTTTTTTCCTATGAGGTTCGGAACCCTAAAAATAACAGCAGTGATGAGCACAGTTTTTTACCTATTTTCTTCACTTATTATTTTTTGTGGTAAACCACTATCAGTAGTCAAACACTGAAACGCACCTATCTCCTACCTAACTTATTGCAAGTATACAAGCTAAAACAAAAGTATAATTGGATACTTAAATGGTAGTTGTTTGGATGGGTTATTTTCCGCTACAACAAGCAGAATATACCTTTAAGTCTTCATCATAAATTCTTTGTTTGTACAGTTTAATGGAAATACATCAATTAAAGTTTTGTTTCTACATCAATAACTTATTTGCCAACGATCTGTTGTTTTTCGATATAACTTCAATGTATAACATACTAAATTTAAATGTTTCAAACAAAGATTGATAAAAAAAACTTGATAGGTCTCTGACATGAAAGGAGTTGAACATTTGTTCAATATTTTAGCGGCAATTCGGCTAAATACACAACGAGGACAAACCCCGGAACAGTGGTCCATTCATTCGGCGATGATAAGATCCTACAAGCGTTGGCCAAAGCTAACGGACCTAATGATCTATTAGACCTTTGTATCACCCAAGTGCCTAACGAAGATGGTGATGTGTATACGAAAGCTATGTAAGTAGAACGTGCAATTGATAACTTGCGTGTCAATGTAAACGTAGAGTTCCACTGCCGTTACACTAAATACATGTTGATGTCTCTGTCTCTTTAATGAGAATGTAAGGCATGATAAATTAAACTTCAGTGGAATTATACGCTTAGATAACGATTTAACTTGTTACTGGCACATAAATGTCGGTTGATTCTAACTCAGTGTTAATGTTTACTTTAATAGGTGCTTAGGAACGATTTATTAAAAAAAGGTTTTTCCTGATCTTTTGTCTTTACCGTCTTAGGATTTGCAATTCGAAATGGAGCATAAAACTAGCAATTTTAGTGTTAATATAATGTATGATTTTCACAAAAATTATCGTGTTTTAGGTTTGGTTTTGAACTGTTACATGAAAAAGCAAGTACATTTGATAACCATATCCAATATGTCTCACAATGTATTCTGAAGAAAGCCAACCTCACAGAAACTACTTCAGTGAGACATAAATCACAGGTATGCAATTTTTTCTTGTTTCTTAAACAATTACCTTATTTTATAATATTTTTTGCAGGAATAAGTTGCATAATGCTTTATATTCATTTTTATGTTGTGGACTTATTTACAAGTTAAGTTACCGAAAAATTTATTTGGAAATTCAAATAATTTTATCTTTAAAGGAAACACACTTTTAGTTTACGCACAATTCATTACATGGCTTAAAATGGTACAGAGTGAATTATATTTGTGTCCTTTCACATGTAATCTTCGCAATAGATATAAAAAAATACATGTTAATAATAAAAAAAATATTTTAGACAGAAGTGTTAGTGGCTGGGCGGATAGAATGCGATGCGGATGCGAGACTGAACTCAAAGAGCGTTATTCTGCAAGGCACGTGGGAAGCATCTCTCAGCCAAGCTGTTACTGTTGATATGGATAGGTAAGAAATACCAATCCGAACTCAATATGTCGTTAATTAAATAATTTAACAAAATTCTAATATGTTTATACACAGTCCACTAATTGTATTTCATTATTACTTTTTGATGTCGAATGGATAAGGAAAACGGTATTAAAATGTTATCACTTACTCCAAAGGCGTTTAATATTTTGTCACTTAAGAAATTACTATAATGCAGTTTAAATAAGATTGTTCATGTCTGTGCTCTGCACTGATTAAGGGTGATGGTAAAATTAATGTTTGTTTACAGTTTGAAACAATATTCTTTGTTCCCCGGACAAGTGGTGGTGATGCGCGGCCTCAACCCGCGCGGAGATAAGTTTATCCCACATGAGGTGTATTGCGACGCCGCTCAGCCAATACCTGACCCCAAAGCTGATATGATGAACACATTAAAAGGTTATTCAAGTTTTGTACTACTTTCCTAATATAGCTACAGTCCATTAAAAACTTATTGATATAAAAAAATCCTACTGAAAAATATACTACAAGAGATAATATGAACCAAATAACTCTTTAACTACTCCGATTGTCACATGACATAAAGCTAGTCAGTGGCACTTAACATATTAAAATTAATATGGAAGAGACATACATACAACTCTTTGTCGAGTACATTTAAAAAACTTTTAGTACTGATTAATCATTTGCATATTATTTTTTAGGTCCCTTATCAATGTTAGTGGTGGCTGGACCATACACGACATCAGATAATATGAGTTATGAGCCATTGAAGGACTTTATAACATATGTGGGCAATCACAGACCGCATGTGGTGATAATGACTGGGCCATTCATGGATTGTGACCACACTAAAGTCAAGGATAACACAATGGCCGAAACATATAAAAGTTTTTTTGACAAATTGATGGATAGTTTAGGAGAATTGACTGCAATCAGGTGAGTTTTTTTTTCATAAATACAAACATACATGTACTTGAGACTTGTCTTCTCAGGTAATTATTACTTAGACTAACTGATGCATTCAATTGTTACTGCTTAGGACTTATTGCGGGAAAAAATGAGTCATAAAAAACTTATATTTAACTAAAAATTTATGTTTATTTGTAGCATTTTGTCCTTATTCATAATTAGTATTAGTAAACAAGATGTCGCCCGCGAGAAATAAAATAATAAGTAGTCATGTGTTTTTCCAGACTATGTTGTTCTACATCTGTGCCAAATTTCATCAAGATCTGTTGAGCCGATCCAGAGGTACCTTCGAACATTCATCCATCCATCCATCCAAACATTCGCATTTATATTACTAAGATATCTTATGGAATAATTAAATCTGATGCAAATATTTTACATATTTCAGCCCATTCACAAAAGTATACATAGTTTCAAGTTCCAAGGATGTGTTCCATGTGAACATGTACCCCACACCACCATACTGCAGCCGAAAGAGACATACAAATGTGCACTTCCTGTCTGACCCCTGCACATTGAATGTCAACGGGATGGTCATAGGTGTGACCAGTACTGATATTCTAATGCACATAAGTCAAGAGGAAATATCAATGTAAGTCATCATTTTGTAATTAGGTTACAAGTGCAGAATATGCAGAAAACTAGAAAAATTTGCCATTTTATATCAAGTTTTTGTAAATGTAGCAAATTGCATGTAAGCGAGAGTAAAAATGTTAAAAAACATTACTCTATGCTTAATCTGTTATCTTATACCTAAAACTCTTTCAAAATACTCTTAATGATTTTTTTTAAAGATTTTAAAAACTTGTAATTTTTTTACTTATTAGGGGCATGGGCGGTGATAAGCTTGCACGTTTAGCAAATCACGTGCTAACGCAGCAAACATACTACCCGTTGTGGCCGCCGCCGCCAGGACTCTGCCTCGATGCGGCGTTGTGGGCTGCGCACGCGCAGCTGCCCACCACACCGCATATACTGGTGCTGCCATCTAACTTCAGATATTTCATTAAGGTACAGCCCGGAAACAATGACAGGGGGAAGCCTCTATAGTACATTAGTACCGCATTTGCTCACCAAGGCAGAGTTTGTGGCAATATAAATACCTTAGCCATCAAATCTTACTAATATTATAAATTCGAATGTTTAGATGGATGGATGGATGCATTTTTGTTTGAAGTTATCTCCGGAAGGGCTCAATAGATCTTGCTGAAATTTGCCATAGATTTTGTGGAAGAACGCATAAGCTATTTATTACGTTTGTTTTTAATCCCGCGCGGACAGAGTCGCGGGCGACAGCTAGTAACTGTATTAATGTTTTCTTTTTTTTAGGATGTGAATGGCTGTGTCGTTGTGAATCCTGAACATCTAACGAAAGGCACTGGCGGAGGCACTTTCTCAAGAATACTTATTACTGACAACGGAGATTTACCGAAAAACATTGCAGCACAAATTGTTCGTATTTAAGAAAAAATAAACAGAATTTTACCCAATAAATCTTTTATTTTTAGAAAAATTATACATTTACCAATATAGAATAAAAAAAAACACGTAACATTTAAAAAAAAATTGTGGTTTAAATCACTGTGGGATGTAAATAGGGTCGTTCAAAGAAACAAGTTGTCCTGGCGGCGACCGCAATGCCATCTGTATTCCCATGCGCGGAGAGCTGCCCGTGGCTCGGCGCTCCTCAGGATTAGTTACTTGTCTATATCTGTAAAAATAAAAAATAATTAAGTTTCTTCCTTTCGAACAAAAGATGGTTCTAATACAAAAGTAAATTCTCAAATATATCGAGTGGCTTACGATTTTAAAGTCTCCAAAGGCTCAGTTTTAGAATTACGTACGCCGGTCTCCGGATCGATAGTGGTTAAAATGCATCTAAAAAAAGCAATTTACAAAATTAGTTCAACATTTCACGAAAAACATGATTATAAAAAGACAGCTTGTCAAGTGATCACTAACCGTGGGTTTCTGAGACCAAAATCTCCATTTAAAACAATGTTATCACTTTTGAAAAGATAAGGATGACAATATGTTTTATGTAGAGTTTTAGGCCTCGGAAACCAACGGTAAATCCCATAAGAAGTTATGAATAAGAGTAACATGTTTATAACTTTTATAATATGTAAGGATGCGTCCACATTCGCAAATGAAAAACAGACTCGCGTTGTTCGCGAGCTGCGCATTTCTTAATATATACGATGTAATGAAATTAACTCACCTGGTACATGGTTTTATTATTTCAAAAACATTTTCACCGATCTTTACGTATCTCCAACCATCCTCGGCGTATGGTTCAGCTCCGGAAAGGACGAAATTAGGTCTGAAGTTAAGCACAGACACCTGACAATCTTTCAAGCGGCTGTTCAATTCGTTAACAGATGCTTCGTTAATCAAATTGAAAGGTACTTCATCGGGTAAAGCGCCCTAGAAAAAAATAGATAGTCAAAACTATATCACAAAAAATTATGTTAAAAATAGCTGTTTTATTTACCGTATCATTTTTGGTGAACTTGTAGAAACTATTTGGCGTTGTTCTCAACTCGCGACACTTCTGCGAGGCGTAGTACACCAGCCTGAAGTTGTCCCCGGAACGATTTAATAACCTGAAAGTATAATGTTAAAATAATTTGCGTAATAAACATTGACTTTTAAAATTTATAACTAGATGGCAATATTCTCTTTAAATGTTTTTTTTAAACTCTCGATTTGATTAATCGGAAAGTCGAATAAAACATACTGTTAGGTTTTTGATTCCCTACAATAATTTAATATTTTACCTCGAAAACCATTCGCTGGGTTCAAAACCACAATCATAAACTGGAACCGTAGTACCCCAAACCTTGGCAGTTTTTGGTGTCTGCAGTTCTATAATCTAAAGACATGTGTATTTTAAACTATAAAGTAATATAATTAAATTACTTCACAGTATGTTATTTTGACATAGTTACTTCTGCCAAGTTAACGTGCAATGGCTCCATGTCGACGTGCTTCAAGCTGAGCACGGAGCTCTTCACTTGGGGATGCACTAGCAGCAGCTCGGGGTGCGTACGCGCAGTTATAAAGTTATACTCGCGGTCTACTACCATTAGAAATCTGTAAGAAAAAAATCATTCTAAAGATAAGAGGTAGAATTGTAATACCAGTGTTATGATTATGAATTTCGCATCGAAGACTACAAATGTGTTATACCGATTATTGGATATCACGTAACATAAGGTAGGCACCGAAACCCTCGACGGGGAAGTATAGTAAGCTGATGATGAAGATCTTAAAATCGTTAAATTGCTATCGTTAAGTGAAGTAAATTATTAAAAACTTACCTGTCCCTCAGCCATCCATCTTTTGGACCAAGTGTACTGCATTCCACCTTGTTCAAAAGTACGGGTCCGCAGGATTTAATCGGGTACACATAAATTTCTTTGAGCGTACCGACTTGTTTCCATTGTTCAGGCAACTTTGGTTTCCTTGTCTCCTTATAAACATTATAGGCGTAGTAAGCGGCGCCGAGAGCACACGCTGTTGCCGCCGCAGTAACAAGAGGACCTAAGAGTTCGACGTCATGTTGTGTTCGATGTTTGTTTGTGTATTGATAAAGAAGCAAACAATCACAACAAACTACGAGGTTATCAATTTAATGCGTTAACTATTCATATTATAAACGGGTAACCTTGTTTTCAATAAATAACAAGAATTCCATGTTACTCTTACAGTTATTTTACTAATAAATATCACTTTAACTTTGTATTTGTAGTGTGTATTACGAGTAAGTTAATACCTTAAGTTGTAGTCACGCGTCGAAGTTAGATATTATGCAAACAATTGGGACGCTCTTTATATGAAAAATATCAGGCGACAAGATTCGATTGACTTATTTTACGAATGTGAACACAATTCTGCCCATTGTCTGTTTCGAAAAAATGTGGGTAATAGCGAAAAAATGTAGAGGAATAAAAAGTCTTTCTTTTTTATAATGTGAATTAAAAAAATGACTATAGTAAAAAGTATTTAATACAGAAATTATGAAATTGCATTTTTTTAATGCTACTGCTTTTTATTTATATAATGTTTCAAGTTCCAAGTGTATGAAGATTGATTAGTTTCTTTCAGGGTTAATGTATCAAGCACTAATACAAAGACGAATACTAATCCTTTACTTTTTTAAAACTTCAGATACATTTAAGATAATTATTATTAAAGGAATTGTACTTACCTTTATCAGACATGATATGTAGCGACCAAATCATACTACACTATCTACATAATGCTACACGATGTATTGAATACAAATCGCCAAACAAAGGTCGTATCAAAACAAATAGCAAATTATCGAAACATAAGTTATGGCGCTGACAATAAGGTTGCTGTTACACTGTTCTGTTATATCACCTTTTAACTTGTATAAAATACAAGCTGATAAATATTGTATAGCTTTCTGACATCAAGCAAAGAGTATTTAATCGATACCCGTTATTAAATTAATACTGATGAATATGAAAAGGAAACAAAAGATAAAGATAAGTACGCAAAAGCAGAACTTACTTTAGAAGTTGCATTTTAGTTTTAGGCTTTAATACTACGTAACAAGTGAAAATCATTGAGCTTTCTTCCAGTATAGTCACACTAAAAGATATGCTTTGAAAAATTAAAGATTAATGATGAAATGAAACTTAATTTGGTTTAAGAATAGTTCCACAATCTTGCAGTAGAAAGGAGGTAGGTATTTATTACTTCTAAAAGAAGTAAAGTAATTACATATGCTATCTATGGCATAATGAGTCTGCAATGTCAGTTTGACAAGATGACGTTAACGTCATAAACGTAAAGTCAACGTGTATTCAAGCTGTCTTCAGCTTCGGTACAAGTTAAAATTAAGGTTTATTAATAAAAGTCAGCAAAATGTGCAATTAGAATTATTTATAAAAGTTAAATACTAAATATTTGCGGAAATCTATGTTTGCAACTACGTCACAATCATGGTGTTATTAACGAACGATGAGGTAAATTCTTTATATTTTGATTTAATTAACTAATTATTAGGGATTTCTTAAAGTTTTATAAATGAATTTCTTTAATTTGCAGTTCCTGACGGAGCTTACAAAGTTATTCCAAAAGGCTCGTGTATCCGGATCAGTTACAATGACCATGAAAAGATGTAAGTACTATAAAAATTCACAAAAACTGATAGTTATGTACAGTATTAGTATCGATTGGTTCTAGTTATATAGGTCTACAGCCATGTCTCTGTTGAACTCTATCAGGCAAATTTTCATTAATTTATTGAATCAGCTGTTTATTATTTTCATAAAAGTCTGTGGTTTGGATTGTTCATGGTGAATATTGTTAAATAGATCAAATTTGAATATAAATTTGAATCATGTTTGTTTTCAGATGATGGAAGAACAAAACCACATCCAAGAGATGGTACACCGGCTGTACCAAACCCAAAATATAAATGCTTAATAAGAGCACAGTCGAGTAGCAAGAAAATATCTACAGTCATAGATCAAGAGGATGTAGAAAAGTTCAGTACTGCCTATACAAACCTATTAAAGACAAGTGTGAATGGGCTGAAACGTTTAAAGAAACCGAAGAAAAAAGCAATTGCAGCTCAATAAGTTGCATATTTAATAACAGACTGAAGTTATATGCGATATAGTGCGGAAAATGTGAACTGATGACATGTGCCTCTGTGATATGTTAGCTGACAGGACTGTCCATTGAACTGTGCTCTTCTTCCATGTGAGTGAAGAGTTGGAGTCCGCTAATGCTGGTGACAGTGGCACAGTTTATCCTTTATCATCTGTCCAACACTGTTAATTTTGTAAAAAACATAGGTTATAACATAACTTTTTTCAATAAAATATTACCGTTCTATCAAATTTTAAGTTTTTGAATGATATCCTATTATTTTTATAAATATAATGCTTATGTTATAGTATGTTTAAGGAAATAAGAATAATTGATTGGCACATTCTTATATAAAACATATTGCATGTTGTTACAAAAATAATGATGGTTATGTAGTTTAACATATCTTTTTAACTTTTAAAGTTATTATTAAATATATCATTGAATTATTTTGACTATCTAAATGATCCCATTCTTAGGTCAATGGTCATTCTATTTACTTGTAACTTTACTTCTTACTAATATAAAAAATGGTAAAGTTTATAAGGATGAATCGGTGTTTGTTATTAACAATCTTAGAGTAGCTTATTAATTCTCGGTGAAATTTGACAGATGTAGAACATAGTATAGAACACAGGCTACTAATTAAGTTTGTTTTTAAATTCTAACTGCATCAAAGTTTTAAAAACTGTTTATAAAAATATCTATGACTTTAAAATAAAAAAAGTTTTGGTAACAAGCAAAATTTATTTGATTAAAAATAATATGTCTGACAGGAAACCTAATCAAAATATGTAGAGAAAGACGATTAAAGAAAAATTAAAGTATAAAATAAATGAGATGCATACATTTAGTATATTGTCATTTTTACATATAATTATCACAATATGAGACCAACATGCATTAAATTAGTTAAAAGTTTTTCAATGGTTTTAATTTTTTTAATCTTATTTCGCATATAATAACTAAATAATATCAAAAACTACAATATTATAAATTTGATACTTACATTTTAATATTTAGAGTATTATATATCTTTAAAATAAAACAGTAATATACGCATTCTACTAACACCATTCCTTTTTGCAAATAAAAATCCATTTAATACTGTTTTCCAAACTTTAAACCAATTATAATAAAATAATTAATAGCCATTTCAAAGATTAAATGAATTCAATAAAGTAGGTATTAAAATAAATTTGACAGTTCATTATTTTGAATTTTTTTCTTAATATTGGTAGCACCGCTGTATTAAATTGATTATCCACCCATAGACATAATAACTCTAGTTGTTTTTTTCTTATCCCTAATTGCTTTTAAAAATATGGGTTAACATTTTTTTGGCCATGATTTATACTTAGACTAAGCAACCATTATAATAAACAACCAACTAACTAAGCCAAGTTGCAAACATTAACTATATGCTATATGCTTAAAGAAAACATAAAGCTAGTTGCCGATATTTATAATAATATTCAATTAATTGGAAGCACATTTTATAATTAACATCGGTTATAAATATAACATTTTTTTTTAGTTTTTTAAAAAATTATATGAATCTACTCTTTAGCCATGAGTAGTCGTCAGTTCGTTATTGTAGCGAAGCCCAGACATCTCGTTGGCCGCTTTCGAGTATAAAAATCACATGCACCTAAGCAGCTACTGAAAGTTGAAACTAAATTGAGAAAAATTGCAATACAAGTGTTCTTCAGCATAAAGGGACGTAAAGTTGGCATAGTTGAGCAACGTTCAAACTTTTAAATCGTTATCATTACTAACTATAGTAAACAACGCAGGCCTTGTGTGGGTCCAGTTGACTTAACTTAGCACACATTCGCGATACTTTTCTTACTTATAAAAGTTTCTCATTTAGCCAGGTCCTACTCATGGGCGTCACCAGGCGATGATGATGGTTTTTTCAAGGGGGGAGAGACAACCCCCAGCTACCCTTCTCTGATGACGCCCATAGTTCATGTACCATGTTGGGATGTAAAGTTTGTGTGCTAGTGTAATAGGTTCTTGTTGGTGAGGCGTTTGAGGCATGCGTTGCGCACGTGATCGTTGCCGAGGCGCTCGGCCTCCTGCAGTACTCGGCGCAGCTCGCTCGTGCGCTCATGTCTCGCCGCCAGGATGTACGCGCTGCTCACGTTGCGGCACGTCAGGTAGCAAGATATCTGACGAATAAACATTTCACCTTTATAGTTATGTAATCACAGACTTATTAAAAACAGACATGTTTCATTCAACACTAAAAATTTCCAAAACGAATCCATAGACAATAAAAAATAATGTCAGCCAATGAAAAGTATAGACCAACAATGCTATCTGAATATCTGAACGGGTGGTCACAAGTCAAACTAAATTATAAAAGCTCACTAGCGCCCTCTTGTCAAGGTAAAAAAATGTCAGAAGATTATCTCTGTCTATAGCTGTCATGTAACTTTTTTTATGTCATTTTCTATGTCTAAGCAGGTTTTATCTACTGACAGAGCCACCCGTGATAGCAGCGCCTCTCTCAATGGTTCAGATATCCTTGTATGAGTAAATACCTTAATAGGTACGCTGTGTACGTCCGCGATGAGCAACTCGGCCTGCTCATCATGCAGCTGTCCTCGCGCCTCGCACCGCGCCACCACCGCGCCCACACCCCACTCCAGCACCTGGTCACTCATCAGGCTGTAACATACACACAGGTATCATTTTAGTTCACGTTCTCTTGCCACCTTTTTTGTATAAGGAAATTTTCGGAAGTGGAAGTGGATTTGGCGGAGGAGGAGACGTGTAGGAAGGAAAAATGGTTAACTTGAAACTAAATTGGTCTATGATACAAATTAAACATTTTTAATATTATAAATGCGAATGTTTGGACGGATAGATGGATGGATGTATGTTTAAAAGTATCTCCAGCAGGGTTTAACGGATCTCACTGTAATTTAGCATACATATAGAAAATAGTCTAGAAGAACACATAGACTAATAATTGTGTTTTTTTTGTCCCGCGTGGACGGAGTCACGAACGACAGCTCGTCTATTTTAAACCTTATATTTTTTTATTAAATATAAATTTAGAAATGCTTACTTGGCTGCTGTTTCTTTGGAATTCCTTATACATTTAGCTAATGTCTTGACTTCCATAAATCTGTCTGTGTTCACTAAATATTTGGCCACATGTGTGTATATGTTCATAGAATCCAATTTATGTTCTGTGATAATCCTAAAAAAGTATTCATAACATATTTTGAACCAGAAATATTATACAGACATTAAAAATGACAATACTATCAAATGATGAAATTATAAATAAAAATAATTAATAATAGAATTTTTTCTTTCATTAATTAGTGACAAAGTAATAAATTTCAGACATCAAAAGACATTAAAACGTAAACAGTTTTAGTTTAATTTAAAAACATAAAAACGTTGTTCTCCTTTGCTTATGGTCTGTAGCATGAAATTATCTGTTCGAAATTTAAAAAAAAAAAATTGAATTACATACTTGAACGCCAAATCGAATCCGCTTTCTATAGTCGGTCCTGTGGCCAGTACTATAGCGACGAGCCTTATTTTATCTGTATTGGATCCGAATAGAGTGAGAGGTCTGAAGTCAGTCGTATTACTCGATTGTGCGCTCTGCATCGGTATTACTTCTGTGAACACTTTCTCGTTTAGTCTATTGTTCGCCTCGGATGCGGCCAGGTACTTGCTTAGTTCCATCTGTCTCGTTATAGTTGTCATTAGATTGTCTATGGTCGCTTTATCAAGGTTGAACTGCAGGGATTTCGGATCATTTATCTCTGAAAATTATAAATAATTGATAAGAAAACCTTATTAGATACTTTTTTAAATGAATAATTTTTATTGCCGCATTCAGTTAGATTTATTATGAAAAAATATATTAAAAAAACTGCTTAAGTACCCATTAAAGAACTTTAAGTGCATTTTGCAAAAAAACTGATTGGCGATGAATCAAGAAAACCAGTATTGTTTCATATACAATTATTTTAAAACTTCCTAGAAAATATCTAACTAAAACCGGTTTTGTCCGGTTCAAAGTGGATAAAGACAGTACTTACTGGTTGCGACGGGCACACACTGCGAGAGATGGTGCAGTGCGTTTGCGAGGTGGTGATGCCGCGCGAGCAGCGTGGCGGCGGGTGTGGTGCGTGGTGTACGGCGCGCGTACAGCAACGCGCACGTTGCGGCGGCGCGCGCGTGCTGCCCCGTGCCACACTGCAGCGCGTACAGCGCATCTATACGCTTACTGCTCTCCAATGTGCGGCAGATGTGCATTATGTATTCCTAGTACATCAACATGTAAAACTTCAATTATAATAACAAAATATTAAAACATAATATTCATATTGTTAGGAAGAAAATCCGACAACGTGCCGGTGTACTGGCGCAACACTAGCCTTATCAAAATGTCAACGTTTATGTCCCTTCACTAAAGAATCTGACACTTGACAGGTAAAGAAAGCGCGCTATTCGCGCCAAAGCAATCTAACTAAAAATAGTATAAAAATAGCAAAAATTCTAGATCTAAAGAGGGGGCAAAGTTTTCTCAAAGGTTTTAGTCGCTAAGGCATAGAAAAATTTAAAAATATATTTTGAGTTATCTATAGGAATCGTTTCTTAGTTTTTCGAAGTAGTTTGTTTTTGACATATAGGCAATATTTTTCTTATGTAAAAAGATAAAAACAAATACAATTCTTATGAAAATAAGATGACCAAAGCATGATAAATTATGAAACATAAGGTTAAGCTATTTAAAAAAAAAATATATATATAACTAAATATAATCTATATACTAAAAAACAGGAATTTTTATGGTAAATAAAGAAAACTTACAGCCCACATTTCCAACGTACTATCCATATCTCCCATAGCTTTTAGCATTTCGTTTACTTTATCTTTTTTAAGGCACTCCATATACACTGCTTCCGTAAAAGTTTCTTTGTCGACCATATTATCATAACAATATCTCATAACTTCAGCCATATCACTATGTTTCATATAGAAAAGTATATTAGCGACATGGGATCCGTAGTTTGTGAGGTAATAAACACATTCTTTATAGAAAAATGGATCTAATCTTCTGCATTGATCGACTTTAGCTTCTTGGTGATTATTGTTACGTCTCAAAAGACCTTGAGCTAGTGATTTCTTAGGTGGTAAAGTTGCTGTTTGAAAGTCACTGTAATCCCCTTGTTTTATTTTCTTTACACTTGCTAATGTGTGCATTATATTTAAA